CTTTTGGAGCCAAGGTGGGCAGATCACTTGAGGTACAGAGTTCGAGACCAGCCTCGCCAACATGGTAAAACCCTGTCTCTACTAGAAATACAAAAAATTTAGCTGACCGTGGTGGCAGGCACCTGTAATCCCAGCTACTCAGGAGGCTGAGGCAGGATGATAGTTTGAACCTGGGAGGCAGAGGTTGCAGTGAGCTGAGACAGTGCCACTGCACTCCAGCCTGGGTGACAGATTGAAACTCGGTTTCAAAAAAAAGAAAAAAAAAAGAGGTTTAATTGACTCACATGACTGGGGAGGCCTCAGGAAACTTACAATCATGGCAGAAGGCAAAAGGGAAGCAAGGCATGTCTTACATGGCAGCAGAAGAGAGAGAGCAAAGAGGAAGAGCCACACCAGATCTCCTGAGAATTCGATCACGAGAATAGCAAGGGGGAAGTCCATTCCCATGATTCAGTCACCTCCCACCAGGCCATTCCCCCAACATGTGGGGATTACAATTAGAGGCAAGATTTGGGTGGGGACACACAACCAAATCACATCAGGCATGCAATCATGTGAGATGTGAGACAGAGAGAGAAATAGCGCTGAATTTATCCTTGTATCAGGAGCCCACCCCTGTGATAACTAACTCATTCCCATGATAATGGCATTAATCCACTTATGAGGACAGACCTTTCATGACCTAATCACCTCATAAAGTCCCCATCTCTTAATATTGTTACAATGGCAATTAAATTTCAACATGAGTTGGAGGTGACGTTCAAACCATAGCACTCTCAATAAAAATTATACAATAGGCAGGGCGAGGCAGCTCACTCCTATAATCCCAGCACTTTGGGAAGCCCAGGTAGGCAGATCACCTGAGGCAAGGAGTTCGAGACCAGCCCGGCCAACATGGCAGAACACTGTCTCTACTAAAAATACAAAAATTAGCTGGGCACGGTGGCACACACCTCTAATCCCAGCTACTCGAGAGGCTGAGGCACGAGAATCCCTTGAACCCAGGAGGCAGAGGTTGCAGTGAGCTGCAATCGTGCCTCTGCACTCCAGCCTCAGCAACAGACGATCCCTATATCATAACATATATAAAAGTTAACACAAATTGGATCATAGACCTAAATGTTAGAACTCTTAGAATCTTTATAACTTTGAATTAAGCAATGCTTTCTTAGACATGACACCAAAAGCACAAGCAACAAAAGAAAAAAATACAGAAACTGAACACCATCAAAATTAAAACCTCTTGTGCTTCATATGACATTATTCTTTAATTTTTTTTTTCTTTTTCTTTCCAAATACCCAGACTTCAAGGAGATTCACAGGACATTATTAAGAAAAGGAGAAGATTAAGAAAACAGAAAAGAAAAGGAGAAGATAACCCACGGAGCAGCTGAAAATCTTTACTAATCATATATCTGGTAAGGGATTTGTACCTAGACTATATAAAGAGCTATTGCAACTCAATGACAAAAAAGACAAATAATCCAATTTAAAAATGGAATTAGGCTGGGC